TAACAGGAGTCACTGCTACTGTATCGATTCCACGGCCATGGCCCAGTCTGTTGCCACAAGGACATGTCCTCCCCCTAAAGGGTAAAAGGACTTTTACCATTGCCCAAAATAGTACGTGACCAGTCTGCAGAGTCCAGATCGGTTGAATAATTTTCCTTTATTTTAGATATATTAAACCAATTGGGAGATGTGAATTGCTTAGAAAGGTTAGCTTTGAGCCTTCGTCATGTGCTACAACCGTCACAGAGCGAATGTCAGTCTTAGACCACTCTCCACCCATGTAGCCTGGTCAATGGAAAGTGTACATCTTTGACCCTCTGTTGGTAGAACTGCCCTTACAATTCATGACAGCCTTATACTCTGATGTTGCAAGAGCTTCATATAATCTACRTTCTTTAAGTCTCTCAGGAGTGTGTCTGATACTCTAGGAAACTCCTATGGAGCTGCCCTGTGGTATCAGTGACATCTCCTCCCAGGATGCTTAGAATCCTCATCCCTTTCACCAAGGGGTAGGTGGTACTCAATGCTCAGTATCTATCAGCCATTCCCAGTTCTTTCTAGAAAAATCCTCTCTCTCTTCCCATTTATTAATTTGTCTCTGATTCAGGTCTGAGCTTATGGTTTCATGGGCTGGGGTGGCTGGCAGGCAAGGGTAGCAAAGCTGATTTTCAGGACTTCTTTTGGAAGACATACATGAGTTGGTGGAGTTCCTCAGGGTGCAATGCCACTGAATTTTTCTGTGACCTCAGCCAAACTTGAGGTAGAATGAGTTCCAATGTAATATCCGGTTTTAGTCAGCTTTTTCACTGCTGTGACTGAAAAACCCGGCCAGAACAATTGTAGAGGAAAAAAGTTTATTTGGGAGCTCCTGGATTCAGAGGTCTCAGTCCAGAGAAGGCTGGCTTCATTTCTCAGGAATCCAAGTGAAGCAGAACATGATGGCAGAAGAGTGTGGCAGAGGGAAACAACTCACATGGTCATCAGAAAGCACAGAGAGACACTCCACTGGTCAGATACAAATATACACCCCGAGTCACTCCCCAATTCCCACCTCCTCTAGCCACATCACAGTCAGTTACCACTCACTTAATCACTATCAGGGGATTAATTCACTGATTGGGTTAAGACTCTCACCACCCAATCATTTCTCCTCTAAACCTTCTGACATTGTCTTACACGTGAGCTTTTGAGCAGCTCCACATCTAAACTTTAACACATCTTGATACATGAAAATTTTTCATAATTGATGGAAATTGCCTAAACAGGACTATTTAATTTTTTGGCAAAAGGAAAATTAGGATTCCAAATCAGAAGTCACTCAGGCTAGATTTTTAGACAATAAACTTTGGAAATAAAGGCAAATATTTCCTCAGATACTAAGAAAGCTTCTTGAAGTAACCCTTGGGTTGACTTGGGAGACCAAGGTGACAATTAATTCTAATTGGACATGAACAATTAGAGCACCATCTAGCTCATCATGAGAATATGATTGAAGTGCATGCGGAGGAACACAGGTCTTCTGTAAAGCACGGATGGGAAACAAATAGAAACAAAAATAAATGTCAAGCTGTCTTTGGACGGAAAGTAAAGAGGACGGCTGAGGCAATGAGCTGTCGAGTTACACCTGCACACCTTTGGTTTCCATGGTAACGTGAGATTTAAGCCAAAAAAAAAAAAAAGACCAAGAAAATGTGACACTGGCACAAAAGAAGTTCAGAACATGTCTCGCCAATGGAGAGTAGGAGGAAATAGTGATTGTCTTAGACACCTGATGGGATAAAATGCCAATGATAATTGCTAAATTTGGTCAGTGTTTTTTCCCTGCTTAAAGCCATTCGGCAATTGAAAATCAAGCAAAACAGAACATACATTTGCAGTTGTATAAAATGGAATTAAATTGGTTTAAGTAAAGGGCCAGATTGCTGTTAAATGAAATGGGATATCGAAAGTTAAATAATTCCAGCCTAATCCACTTGGTTGTAATAAAACATTTAAGCATACACATTATGGATATAAGGTCACCCACTGTTTTGAGTCTCCCAAAAAGAAGCTCACAGCTAAGTTATAAATTAATTTAAAAGGTTTTATAAAATTGTAAATGTTTTGCTGAGCCTTTAGAAATGCTTCCAAGGGAAATTACTAAGAATGCAATAAAAATATTTTTAACAGGCTTAAGCTGGCAATTTAAACTTTTCTAACATGAAAGATGATTAGTTTTCAAAATCGGCACAGCATCAGAATTTCTATAATATCTGAATCTGCTTAAAGAAATGAAATAAATTTCTCAAGAATATTGTTGCTTTTCTTCTCCCTATTTTTCCCTTAGTAGAAAAAGAAGAATGATTTCAGGAAAGCAAAACCAAGGTCTACTTCTTCGAGATATATTGCAAGCTAAATTCTGAATTATTATTAAAAGATGTTTAGGTCTATTTTTTTTTCTTGGCTTTAAATCTGTCTCATTTACAAATTCAAAATACATAGTCAGTCAACTCTATTTAGATTTTGATTGCCGATTTTTTATAACCTTCCAAATGCAAGATTGATTAGTATGTTGTTGGAAACAAAGAGTCCATCCTGCTACAGAACAGAAATATCAGTATATTTTAAAATTATGCATCTATATGATAAATAATCTAATTAATAATAAATTGAAGTAATTCAGATTTATTCTCCTTTATCCTCTCTCCAAAGTAGAAGTGCAAGGAGACTGAAATCAGTTCTGCTGAGGGGAAGGCCATTTAGAGAGAGTACATAGAATGCCGGAGACACAGAAGGAATTTTGAAAGAAGGGGTATTATTCACCAGGGGGAGTACATTGTGTGCCTTCTTACTAACTGCATCCCCTCAACTGGGAAAGGAGGAATTGAGTTATGAAACTGAAAAGCTGTGCCTTTTGTGGAGTTGATAATGTGGACATGGACTTTGGCCTCCCAGACATAACCCCTGTGCTGAATGAGCATCTGGGAGGAAGATTCCACTGGAATGTATAAATGCTGGCTCGCACGGATCGTTTCCATGGGTATCATGTTCGTAGCCGTACAGCTTGTTTACTTATTACTGTAATTATTACCACACCACATCCATTGACACCCGTGGTCAATTAATGCTTTTAACCTTGTCAGGAAAGGGTAAATAACATTGCACTGATAATAGTTTTTAAATCAATGACTAGAGTGGAAGGGTGGAAGGAAACCGGGAGAGTAATAAAAAAATATTCTAAGATGGTTTCTACAAAGCAAAAAGAGAGTATTTGAAAATTGAATGAAATGCAGAATATCCACTGAAAACTGAGATCTGAATAGTTCATCATATTTAAAGTTTATTCTTCTAAATTTATCACATTTTCTATTTAAAAAAACAACAACAGTGTGTTTAATTTAAACTTTATGTGAAGTCTCAGGGTGCCGCTCAGGGGCAAAGTACTCATGAGCAAGGTGCTGTGTTGATCCCCAAAATAAGAGGAAAACATTCCTGTGACTAGAACGATTTCTCTTCATGAATGCCCCCAGCTCCAATAGCAGCCTGGGTGCTTGTGCTCTGCTGTTCTGCTCATACTCACCCCTCTGGAACTTTCCTTCCTGGACATTACCTTGGTCAATCTGTATTATTTGATATTTTCTTGCTAAAATCTTCCTTTCTCTTTTTTTAAAATCCACCAACATCAAAGCATTTTTACTCTTGTTGAACACTCTCATCAACAGCTGCTTGTTTCTCTTAGGTAACATCACCAATCCCCCTGGCCTAGAAATCCTTGGCAGGACATACTCTCTTCCCGTGATCTCCTATCCTATTTCCTGCAGTGTCTGATGGAAAACAGATCTTTAAGTTTATAATAGAATAGAGGTCAACATGAAAGGCTCTAGGATCCTGGCCTTTGATTTTTGCTTCTGGTCTTTGTTATGACAATAAATAGTTAGCTGAACTATTATTTTCAATGTCATATAAAAACATTGGAACGACAGTCCTTTCTTTTTAATCGTAGATTAGAATTTCAAAGGATTTTCAAATACATAAGAGTACGTATCAGGAAAAAAACTAACAGTAACACAAAGTAATCAAAGTGAACTGTAACATTCCTAAATTCCTCAAATCTTCAAAACCAACAGTCATTCTGTCCATGGTCCTGCCTCCTCCTTGTCTGGTTTGGTCCAGAATATGTCTTCAGTCTAGGGAAACCCCTCCCCCTGGGCTCTGGGTTCTAGACACCGATGCTTCTTCCCAGGATATGATCTGAGGATTTTCTCCTTTTCTTTTCCATAAGGTCAAAGTACACTAGATCGCAGGTTTTAAACACACACCAGTTTCACCCACTTCAAAACAATGACCGATCTCGTCCTCTCTCCCGAGCACCCCACAGCTCCTGCCTGTCCACTCTTCTAAAGGTAGACCTTCCCAGTGCATGACCTACCCCTTCACTCCATGTCCCTGCCTTCCTCTCCCTCCCTAACCCACTCCAGCCTCCTTCTACCTCATGATGCTACCAAAATAGCTCTTGCAACATCACCAAATCCAAAGGCCACTTTTCAATATTCCTCAGCAGCAAAGAGAAGGGCCCATCTTCCTTCTTAAAACACTCCTCATGGATTTCAGGTCCTACACGAAGGAACAACCAATTACTACTCTCCTGGAGTGTCTGAGGACCTGCCCTCTAGGGTGGGATATCTGTTCTCTTCTCTTCCATTGTCCTCTCCTGAATTGGAAGAGTCCTAGGTTCTTCGACCCAAGCAGCTTTAGGATTTTGAGGTGAAGAACTGAAAGGATGGGGAGGAAAACAATAAGGCACAAAATAAAGTAAGGGAACTATTATGGAGGAAAGGAGTAGAACAGTGTTGCTTGGACAGAAGGGAAGATGAAGAAAGAAGTAAATGCGATCCTTGTGGACAACATAGTTTTATCCTTGATATTAAAGCTCTTTTTCTTTTGCTCTGAGTGAAGTACAAACCCACAGAAGTGTTTTAAGAAAGAGCCATTGGTGCCAGAAGAATCTGATGGAGATGAAGCAGGGTGGGAAAAATATTTTATTGAATGTGTAATAAACTGGATATCTGCACATCCTCAAAGTTGCTGTCACACCTGCAAGTAAAGAACAGACATATCTTAAAATATTCTCAGTGGCTTGACTTTCTCTTTAGGTAAACTCATTCATTCCCATATTGACAAGTGTCAACCACAATGTCTATTACATATATATATATATATATATATATATATATATATATATATATATCTTTTACCCAGACACCATACTTGCAGGATGTATTCAGATATTCGCTTCCAATTCAATATTTCCACTTATATGCATATATATTATTACCAAGGCCAAAACAAATCTTATGATTTTATTGTACATCTTCCTTCTCCCCATCAAGCATATTATCTTCCAGGGTGACCTGTCATCCTGAAGGTTGCTTCTGTTTGTTGGGTTTCTCCACAAGACTAGACTTATCCAAGGTCAACCATTAGGAGGAAACAGTTTATACCACTTTGACAGCTAGAATGTTTGTCATTACAAATAAGCAAACATCTAGCCAAAGAAGCTTAATAAGAAGAAATGTTATTGTGGATAACAAGAAGTAAAATGTAACAGTTTTAGGGACTCATCACTCAAAGTTATGATAATGTGATCAGTATATAGGTGGCTTCTGAACTTCAGCATTTGATAGTGCATTCCTTCAAAGCTCAAGATGGGCGGGAGGGGGGGCGGGTATATCTCAGTGTTAGAGCACTTGCCTAGTATGTATCAAGACCCTGGGCTTAATGTTTGTTTTCTTTTTTAAAAAACAAAGGAAAGAATGAAAGAAAACTAGCTTAAGGTGGTTGATGCTGTTCCAAACATGGTGTGTCATCACCATGATATTGTTCTAAAGTTACAGACAATAAAGGAATGAGAAGGATGACAACATAGAGCACTCTATTCAAAAGAAATATTATATAACAATATTGTTAAGTGTATTTTCACAGATTCTGAAACAAGATTTCTTGAGTTCAAATCCAAGCCAGCTAGATATCAGGTGTGTCAGCTTGAAAAAATGATTTAAACTTTCTATGCTTCTATTTTCTTTTTGATAAGCATATAATAATAGTATTTTTCTATCCAGTCTTTCATGTCAATTAAATGGTTTAATACATTTATAAATCTTAGGGCAATATTTGGTAAGAGGTTAATGTGTGTTTGCTATTGTATGATTAGTAAGTCACAAGCAATGCATAATTATAAAAAGGGAACTTTATAGTGAAATTTAAAATAAACTTTATATGCTTATAATTGTCTTCAAAATAGTTATAAAGCAAATTATAAAATATTTTCAAATTACACAACTCTCTACCTGCAAACTACATGATTGTTTACAACTTAGAACTTATATAGCAAGAGTAATGAACTAATTTATCATGTTTCCTAGGTGCAAGATTAATGTTATTATTGTACTAGTAATTGACAGAAAAGGTGTAGATTTCATGTATTGTAACATAACAAACCCACAAATACCTAGAAATAAGTTAAATAGATATTTAATTCTCTTATGAAGAAATTTTCAAGACATTATTGAAAGGCTTAAAAGAAGACCTGAAAGTTAAAAAGTATATACTATATTCATGGACAGAGGATTCAATATCACAAAGATCTTCTGAAAATAATAATGTGAACCTCCTCTTTGATAAAGAAAACATTACATCAGAAATATTACTTCCTATAATAATCAAAGATTCCTTTAATCAGAGAATATGTTTGATGGGGAGAAGGAAGATGTGCCAAAAAATAATGAGTTCTGCTTGAGATTTAGTAATAATGTTTATATATTTAAATGAAAATACTAAATAGTGTGTGGGTATCTGAGTTTATCATGCAAAGATTCATATTTGATTTAAGCGAACCAAAATACCAGAACTAAAGTGAATATTTCATATAACCTTTAATATCTATTCTCTACTCTTTTTCACATATGAAACTTGCTTTGTATTTTTTGACATTGAATTTAAAGAGGTAAAGCCTCTTTTGTCAAATTGTTTTATTGTAATTCAACCTATATACAACCATTTAAATGTACTTATGTTTATTAGACTGTTAGTAGATATTTATAGGAATGTTGTTAGTAGACATTGTTTGGTACACTTATTTTAAATCACTTTTCTATGTAAAGTTACATAAAACTTACCTAAATTTAAAACTTATTCTGTTTTTGTACCCAAATTATTTGTACATAAATACTATAAAAAACTATAGTGACTTTTATACTATTTGATATGCAACTCAATGTGTTGTCTCCTTTAATCATTATTTAGAAATAAAATTGCTATATTTCCCAAAGTCAAAATAAATTACAGAGATTATTTCTTCCACATTAGCAATTGCCTAAAAAGTATTCTATATTCTGTACAAGTGCTATAAAAATTTCTAAAAGAGGTTAAGAAATTTGACAAATGTAGTTATATTGGAAAAGGAAACAATCGCCAAGAAAAACCGGAAAATTAATAGTTAACAATTTTCCCAACCCACTACCACTGTTCATCAGAGAAATATTTCCATAATAATATTTATGATATAATAATAATGATATTGGTTCATGGAGATAACAATAAATATGAGGAAAAAAAACCCAAAATCAGTCAAACACATTCATACGTATGAAAACTGCAAATGTGATTTAAAAAAAATGTATTTATATCAAGTCAGAGGAAGAAGTATACACTTGGCAAAATGGTGTTAGGAGAGATGGATGAATGACAAAGATATGCACATGTAATTATATATCTAATTCACTCTGCCCACAAATGTGGAACAGCCAATAATGGAGAAGAGAAATCCAAACTTTTAAAAAGCATATTTTACAAATATACATTTTCAGAACATACTCGGGACCACATGGGCCTTATAGAAGATGTTCCAGACTCAAACTATAGCACAAGATTATGTAGTTAGTAATATTTTGGAATATGAGTAGGATTTTTGAATTGTGGTAGAGTATGCATAATAAAAAATTTACCACTAAGAAAAAAAAAGAAAGAAATAGGTAAAAAACAATGAGTAATTTGTCTGCATGGAAACTAATTCACAGTCAACAAATATACAATAATTTTAAAACAATACCATAGAATGGGAAATGTATTTTAACTACACAGAGACAAAGAAGGATCAGCACAAATCCGAAAGTAAATAATTCACTACAAAATTGGTCAAAGTGCATAACAATCAATGAATTAAAGGGAAAAGATGAGCATTCCAGAAAACGCAAGTCAAACAACAATGAAATCTAACAAATACCTATCAGAGTGTCAGGAGTTAAAAAGGTCTAACAAGGTGAAGTTCTCACAGGAATTTGCAGATGCAGAGAATTTCACTCCCTGCTGATGAGGTGTAAAATGATGTGATCATTTTGGAGAATCCTTCAAGTTGACCAGTGGTTTCTCTTTTACCTATTTGCTCTACAGAAACTCTCAGGTATGATCCCAGGAACACTCACTGCTGTCTTTTTTGAAGTTTTGTTTTCCTTTTCATTTTTATTCTGAAATAATTATAGATTCAAAGCAAGTTGCAAAGATAGTACAGAGAAATTCCCTTTAGCATCCACACAGTTTCACCAAATGGCCACATTTTACAAACTATGGGACAAGGTCAAAACCGAAAATTTGCAGTGGTGTCTTGCATGTTACTTTTATGCTATTTTATCACATGTGTAAACTTATGTGACCATCACTGTAGTGAAGACAGAGGGATGCCCGCCCTCACAAGGACCTCCCTGTGCCACCTCAAACTCATACCCACTGCTTTCCCTGCCTGATGTCTCTCACATCTGGCAATCTGTATCCTATTTTCCATGTTATATAGATAATATTACGTGAATAAAGTCATATAGTGAGTGACATTTTTACATTGYTTATTTTCCATGCAGCACAAAAATCCTTGAGGTCCATTGAAGGTGTCTCAATGCTGAAAGTTTCCCCCTTCCTGCTGCACTGTGTTCTGTAGCATGCAGGACTACAGTTTGCCCAACCCTTTGCCTATTGAGGACCAGTGGTTATTTCCACGGTTTTAGCTATTACAAATAGAGCTGTGAGGTACAGATTTTATGTGGATATAAATTTGGGTTTATAGTAAGTATATATTTAGTTCATGTTATTTTTGTAAACTACTAAACTATTTTCCAGAAGATTTGTAAGATTCATGAAGAAATTTTTCTACATAGTACTAAAGCAAAACTCATATGTTATCACAAAACTCACTGTAGGGTTGTTTAATAGCAAAAGTTTAAGCAATCTCAATATCCATCACGAAAAGAATAGATATGTGTGTGTGCATATTTACACACACACACACACACACACACACACACACACACACATAGTTCATACAAAGGAATATTACAAATGTCTGAATAAATGAAGTAGAGGTGCATGGTTAACATTATAAACCATAATTTTGAATATAAAAACCAAGTATCAACTTGTTGTTTATCATATGTTTCTCTATAGGTGAACAATATAACAACACTGCTAAGACCTCTTGTACTAATTGTAGAAAATATATTTATTTTTATGTGGTGCTGAGGTTCAAACTCAGTGCCTCACATGTGCAAGGCAAGCGCTCTACCACTGAGCTATAGGCCCAGATGAGAATGATAAACATTTGATTCAAAATAATGATTTTCAGTGGAGATGGAAGGAATGCAGATTGGAAATTCAGTTGGGGAATTTAACTATATATGCAATATTTTATTTTTTAAAATACTTTAAACACAATGTAAAAGTATCAGTATTTGGTAGCATCGAGAGGAGGATATTTGAGTTTTTAGCCATTATTCTCTGTCATTTCCTATATATTTTATTTGCCATATTTCATAATCAAAAATAAAGAAACACCCTAAGTGCTTAAAATATACTTTATTTATTTGGATTTAATTCATCAATACAAATGGATTACTATTTACCAAGACCAGAAACAAATAGATGGATTAAATCAATGTAATTTGTGCATATGAGTTTTTTTTTTTTTTTAGAGAGAGAGAGAGAATTTTTTTAATATTTATTTTTTAGTTTTCGGTGGACACAACATCTTTATTTTATTTGTATGTGGTGCT